AAAATTATATCAAGCACAGCAAATGGAAGAGTAAATATGTCCCATTAAAATGGTATATTAATGTTTAGTTAACTCTAAGCCGTTTGTTAATAGCGAGTGTTTTGGTAAGGAACATCATGTCAGTTTAGGAAGGCTTCTCAATCTCTATGTAAAACAGACTTGCAAAGTGAGCTCAACCACTCTTGATTCTTATATTACTTTATAGAGAACAATTCTATCTTTTGTTCTATACAAGAAAAATTAATAATATGGCCGATGCAGAATAACCTTTAAATCAGAAGTCCTAAAAAAATTTTGAACTCATATTTGTAGAGAACACAAAACTTTGATTCGAACGCAATATTTTCAAATTTCTCCAAGCTTCTTAAAAAGGCTTAAAAATGAATGAACGTTTTGTCTAATTACTTTTCGATCATTTCTTACACTTTAAGACTTTAATTTGCATATATTTCATATTTGATCATGAACTATATTTAACAGAAAAAAAACAATCACAAGTCTATATTATCCTATTGAAAAAAAAACGATTATTTACAACAACGTACAAACTTATTTTGAAATATTCTAAATACTAAAAACAAAATCATTTTCAAATGATATTTAGTCATACCTAGAAAGACCTCATAGAAAAAAAATGTTTAAACTTTTAAAAAGAATAATAATATTTATTTATGTATCAATAATTTCACAACAACCTAATTCGTTGCTGATATATGGGAAAAAAAAAATTTTTCTCATCAATATTATTATAACTACATAAGAGTAAAAATAAGGACAAAAAGATACGAAAGACTAATAAGAAATGAATCAAGTCTAGATGAAATAACCAAAAGAAAAATACTTAATATGAAAAAAGAAAACGTTTATTTTTATTTAATTATAACGTTTATGACGTTTCATTATTCTACTGCTCATTTGACGTATATTAGAATAAATTTGATCTTCATTTATATTATTATCATTGACTATTAATTGACTTTGATTTGTACCAATAATCGGTTTTGATACAATAATAAGTAAATCAGTTAAAAAATCACGATTACCAAGTATTTCAACATGTGTTACAGCATATTCACCACCTCGTAAAGCATCTTCAAGACGTGTTGTTAATATATCAAATGCTGTTGTTTTATGAATGTATTCACGTATAATTGTTTGAACATGTCCAGGATTATGATAACTACCCGGTTGTTTCCATGGACCTGCACACATATGTCCAAGTGAAACAAGTGGAACAGTTGCATCACCTGGACCAAGATAAACACCTGATTTAATCTGTAAAGATGAATCTGTATGAGAAGTATTAAAAAGTAATAGAGCACTTGAACAATAATCTGTTTGAGGATAAAAACCATAGGAATAACCACTAAAAAAAAAATAGTTCAAGAAAATATATAAAAACAAAACTTCTTACCATTCAGTCATTGGTTCTTGCACATAACCATACACTAGCAAAAAGAAAATTATACTATTATGAATACTGTAGTTTCATTTCGATAGGATTCAAGTGTGTAATATAACAATACTAATTCCATAAGACATCACATTATATATTTAGTTATCAGAGTAGCAAAAAGAAAAAAAAATCCTTAGTACAAATAAAAGTCATTGAATAAGATAAACAATCTATATTTGATATCTAATGAATTAAACGATGAAAATAGTATTTAAATCTATTTTTGATTTATTCGGACAATAGAATTCAAGTTTTGGAAATAAATGAAGAAATATTTTATTATGATGTAGAAAGAATGGAAAAATTTGAATTTTTAATTAAAATTTGTTCGACAGATTATTTTTAAATAGAATAATCTTCAGTCTAAAACTATTCTTAACTTACAAATAATATGAAACACAATTTCTTTTTGTTAAAAATAATTTAATA